TAATGTGGTGTTGGTGTGACTTAGAAAAATGCCAAATCAAAAAAGAACGAAAATTTGAGAGAGGAATTAGGAGTTTTTCGAAAAAAATGGCTTGATGTGTGTTGTTCTATGTAGTTTTAATACTAAAAAAAATAGCTTGATGTGCTTTTCTCGTGTGTTAATTGAATCATTACTAGTCGTAGCTGATAGGAATAATATCAACGTAAATTTGGTTTTGGAAAATGAGTCAGTGTGAAGCACATCTTTAATAATGCCGATGTATATATTACAAATGCCAGAATATGGCGGATAATAATAGAAAATAAGATGCGGTGGTGACAGGACGAAGAAATTACTGTGTGGACTGAAATATATTGTGTTTTTGCCTCCCAGTGAGTTTTAATTCTCACACAATAGATAATGTCGCTTTTATTAGCCAGTATTTGTTATCTGCCTGCTAGGAAGGCGTTAGGGTAGCCTAAAGAATAGATGGGTGTCTTCAAAATTTTGTACACAATCTATTTTGTAAATGTGGTGTATAATAAATGTAAACTATTACTTATTTCAAGTCACTAATAAATTCATACAGTCCATAACTTAATTTACCATTGTTACTGGTGTGATTTTGTTATATATCACATAATTTAAGGTCCAGATGTGATTAATATATATTTTAGCTGTATCGAGATTTCTTCCCACTTATGTGGGTGAAATAATTCAGAATTGTACCTGTAAACCTCATATACAATTTCTCAAAAGGACAGTAAAATAACAAATGGCTCTTGTATTTGACTGCAAAAGCCTACTACGTAGGTGAAACGTTTCATCAAGATGCCATACTACTGTATATGTCTTAATCATCTCCATATGTCCTAAGACCCAGTTAAAATGAATCTCATTTATAAGTCACATTAGAGTCTCGCTATTTCATCAGTATAGTGAAAATAAATATGGTGATATCAATAATATGTGGAAAAAGATACTTATGTGTAGTTCAGGACGTTTTTTTTTTTTAATCACTATCAGTAGAAATTGAACAAGTAGACATCCATGTCTCTTTGGCAGCGCCTTTGGTTTACAACCAAACAACCCGGGATCAGTTCCAGGGCTGGTGAAGACTTTGGTCATGTTTCTTTACACCTGGTTGCTACTATTCACCTAGCAGCCAATAGGTACCTGGGAGCTACTAGACATGGGTGGCATCCTGGGGAAGGTGAAACAAGGATTCTTCCCCCATGGAAAAAAAGCCACACTGCTTGGCTTTCCTTAATTATCGTATGTCATCTCTATAAAAGACTAATAGAAAATGTATTTTCCATAACTGTGGTTTGTTACTTGTGACTTTAAAAGAAAACTTACCTTATAGGTGCTGTAGGGCCAGAGGGAGACCTGTTCTCTAGTAATGTTCACAGCTGAATGATAGTTCTCAAGCCATTTGCTAATTATATCTTCACCACCTGTTTATAATACCTCACTCATACATATGTATACCAGTAAATGATATACAGTGGCAACCCCGCAAGTGAATACAAATTAAACCATACCGGGAAGTGATAAATTAGAATGTGTATTATCGTTGTACTTTATTAGTTGAGGGTCTGAAATGGCATCACTGCTTCATATTCCTTATGGAAAATTGTCAGACTGGCAGGAATGAGTAACTTCCTAGACTTGAAAAAATTGTTCACGCACTGGGGTCCTGTATCATTGCATTTAAAGGACTGAACAATCGATACAAAATGCAAACCAATTATGGGGAAGTTATAATTGTACATCAAGGTAATCTTGGTATCTATTAGGAAACTTTGGCCAACATTGGCTCTCATCAACATACCGAAGAGTAAACATGGAAATGAGGAAAGAGTAATCAGTCACCAACACTTGGTCGAAGTTTCAACCACATTATTGCTACATTCAGTTCTGATGATGCACATCGCTAAGTTGAGACGAATAGCCTTACTTACATTTCAAATTTACTAGATGAGATGGACCTACTGTGGCGAAACAGTTTCAATAAAGTAAGCCCAAATTCAATTTGTCAAGTACGCGGATCGGTCTCAACCAATCTTAATAGGATTCCAATCGCGACTTTTTGTAATATTGCAGCCTCCTATGAGCTAGAAAACAAAAGGCTAGAGCTTACAATTTTGCCATTAATGTGTAGGATGAAGAGTTTATCAAGTGGTGAGTGAAAGATATACAAGTTTACATAATGAATGTTCCAGGTAGTGCATATAGCAGCACTAACAACACTTAGATTATTGAGAAACTACTCAATTTTGCCATCATTAATAACCAGAAAACGTATTATATATACCTGCCTTCAAATATTTACCGATATACAAATGTGTAGGACTGAGACGTTATCCGCAAGTGGTGGAGTGAAGAGATATACAAGTTTGTAGATGAATGGTTCAGAGAACCGACATGTTGATAAATTAGACACATGTGCAACTCTTGGGTATCTTTATTGAGGAAACGTTTCGCCACACAGTGGCTTCATCAGTCCATACAAAGGAGAATCTTGAAGAACAGGAGGAGAATGAGGTAATCAGTCCCTCAACCTTGAGTCGATGTGGTCAGTCCATCAATCTTGAGTAGAATACGGCATACGTGCGGAGAAGGAGCTTATAAACCGTTGGCAGGAGAGGTGCAGCAGTCATAGGTGGTGTCACATTTGTTCAATGTGGAAGTAGGTCGTGCCCAAGAATTAGGCAAGCGAAGAATTCCTAAATGTGACACCACCTATGACTGCTGCACCTCTCCTGCCAACGGTTTATAAGCTCCTTCTCCGCACGTATGCCGTATTCTACTCAAGATTGATGGACTGACCACATCGACTCAAGGTTGAGGGACTGATTACCTCATTCTCCTCCTGTTCTTCAAGATTCTCCTCTGTATGGACTGATGAAGCCACTGTGTGGCGAAACGTTTCCTCAATAAAGATACCCAAGAGTTGCACATGTGTCTAATTTATCAGATATACAAGTTACTGAATCGAACAGTCCATGGTTCGATCACCTGTACGGGTGGAAACATTAAGACGTGTTTCCTTAAAACACCTGCTGTCCATGTTCACCAAGCAGTAAAATAGGTACCTGGGTGTTAGTCGACGGGTGTGGGTCGCATCCTGGGACAGAATTTACCATAATTTTTGCAAAGGCACTACCAAGCAGCGATGCATGAATGCCTGTTCAGTTTACGTTGTTAGTGATAAAAATGTCTTGAACTGTACATGTCTTTTACCACATTTTGTTTGTGTCACCATATTTATTTTCATTATACTGTTGGAACAGCGAGATCCCATTGTATTTTCACCATACAGGAATAAGATGACCATAAGTGTCGACAATGACTAGAAAGTGTTGTAATTAAAATTATATTTTCCGAGAGTAATCCACGAACTGTTGTTGGAGAAATGTGTAGAGCATGAGAATATAAGAGTTGAGGAACACTACAGGAAGCCTACTGGCCAAAAATTGAGGAACATCACAGGAAGCCTTCTGGCCAAGAACTGAGAAACATTACACGAAGCCTACTGGCCAAGAATTAAGGAACACTACAGAAAGCCTACTGGCCAAGAATTGAAGAACATTATAGGAAGCTTACTAGCCAAAAATTGAGGAACATTATAGGAAGCCTACTGGCCAAAAATTGAGGGGCATTACAGGAGGCCTACTGGCCAAGATTATTATTATAATCAAAAAGAAGCGCTAAGCCACAAGGGCTATACAGCTACTGGCCAAGAATTGAAGAACATCATAGAAAGCCTACTGGCCAAAAATTGAGGAACATTATAGGAAGCCTACTGGCCAAAAAAATGAGGAACATTATAGGAGGCCTACTGGCCAAAAATTTAGAAACATTACAGGGAGCTTACTGGCCAAAAATTTAGAAACATTACAGGAAGCCTACTGGCTAAGAATTGAGGAACACTACAGAAAGCCTACTGGCCAAGAATTGAGGAACACTATGGGAAGCTGAAGTTTCAGTTGCTTGGGAAGTGTCATTTATCAGGACAGCCTCTCCCGTACACATCTGAAACAGACTTATGTAAGGATATCTCTACCATCACATTGCTGGACAACGCAAAATATATCAATGATGGGAAAATTAAGAATTGAGGAGGGGGTTGCCTATTGGCCCATACTAGACAGGTCCAACTCTAAATCATCCATTCCCACCCATTGCATGAATTGGTGGTAAATTATTATTATAATCAAAAAGAAGCGCTAAGCCACAAGGGCTATACAGCAATTGGTGGTAAAATATTAGACTTTCACTGAGGTTAGGTCAATGGTGTGGGGGACAGCTTATCAGCTTGACCCACATCATTATTGTGGTTTAGCGCTTAGTTATGCTAATAATAATTGTATATAATTGATGTGGACCCTCTTTGCAAAGGATAGAAGTAGATGTGTTGGATGACAAGGGTCGAGAGTTCATGTTATAGTATGTGGCCATTCAAGTACAGTGGAGCCTCGGTTTTCGTGATTAATTAGTTACAGAAAGTCTCGTACAAAAACTAAAGCAATATTTCTCATAAGAAATAATGTAAATCCAATTAATCCATTCCAAACACCCAAAAATATTAAAAAAAAATACATTTTATAGAGAATAACTGTAGTTTTACATACAAAAAACAATGAGAAATAAATATAAATGACTAATGAAATGGATAAATGAACATTTAACATCACTTTTACCTTTATTGAAGACCCTTGTTGGCGTACGGGAGACGGCGAGGAGGGGAGAGGGAGGAGGAGAGGTTATTGTTTGGAAGGAGAATCCCTGTCCATAAGGACTTCAGGTATCAAGGCTCTATTTGGGGATACTTCCCTTCATTGTCTTTTACTGGCATTAGGACTAGCTCTTTAAGATTTGCCTAAAATGGGCAAGGCATTGCCATTGAACATGTTGCAGACACAACTTGCAACAGTTTTGTTAGGGTGATATTTCTCCACTCCACTTTGCACACATGTCCTTAAGCACTGAAGAAGGCACATTCTCTCCTCTCTCTTCCTCCTCCTCCTCCTCTGAAGCAATTCTATCGTGTTTCTCACCTTCTATATCAAAGGCCTGGCACTCGGAACTTTCTTTGGCCCCATGGTGGCTTATTTAGCAGTCGCACTCATTTTAGGAAATGTTTCAGATGAACGTGCAGGGTGATGCTCACTCACTCACAAAGGCAGACTGAGTCACTCGGTGCTTGAGTGGCTGAGTGAAGCGGGCAGACAAGCGGACACGTTTGGTACAAACCATTATTAACTCTATGAAAACCGAGGTGATGTACAAAAACTGGGACAAAATTTTGATGGAAAACATAGTTGAAAATCGAATCCTACAAAAACTGGGGCGTACGAAAACCAAGGTTCCACTGCATGTGTTGGGGGTTGCATCGTAAAAAGTCAAAAACTTGTGGGACTGGAAGAATTTTGTTAGAGGGAAGTCTAGTGTGTCTATCTTGTAGGGGTGAGAGGTGCTTAGATAGTCTTGTAGGGGTGAGAGGTACCAGATGACTCAGGTATAACACCAGTACCAGTTTCTGGATTCTGATACCTTCAAAATGACTAACCAATGCTAGCAAAGCTGCCTGATTAGATATCACTAACTATATACGTATTTCTCTTTCAGATAATAAGTGATGGGTGACTCAGTAGTAAGGCAGTTTCTGGCAACATTTTCAAAATGGATAGTCCTGTCTGCTATCCTGCAAGTCTCTCATTTGATTTCCACTTGAAGTGACGAGACCACTACCGCATCACTCCTATAAGGTAAGCTAGAACATGGCTGATAGTGATCCCTTTAATTTTCTCTCTAGATGGTGTACTTACAAGAGATTTATTATTATTATTATAATCAAAAAGAAGTGCTAAACCCACTAGGGTCATACAGTGCTGGAGGATATTTCTCCGAGACCAAATGGGAAGAGAGAAGGTTTTAATTTTTTTTTAGACTGAGGACCCTGACCTGAAATAAGTTTCCAGGTTTCCTTAGTGCATTTTCTTGTTCAGGATAATGCTGAGTCCCTGTTGTGGAATTCCGAGAAAGGATGGATGCCAACCTGACATTTCCCAAACCTCTTAGGTTATTTTGGGTTTATAGGGACAAAAACTTTTCATTAAAATTGGGAAACAAGCCTAAAATATTCACTAAAATTGGGAAACAAGCATGAAGTAACTGTTTTTAATTAATTCCTTCCCAAAACCATGAAAACTCTTGTATATTCATCTTTCCTGAGGTCTACAAGAGTTTTGATGAAGATCCTGACCCAAAATGATGTACTTCCCATTTCCCAGTGTATTCCCTTGATCAGCATAATGCTGAGTCTGTGTGGATAAATTCTGAATGGAACTGGCAGCTCCCTTGACATTTTCTTTTGAGATGTTGGTCCTGGAGTATACCTGGAGAGAGTTTTGGGGGTCATTACCCCCACAGCCTGGTCTGTGACCAGGCCTGGAGGTAGGAGGTAGTTCCTGCACTCTGAAGGATGAGTGGGAATGTCACAGTCCTGGAGGTGGGAAGTACAGTGCCTGCACTTTGAAGAACAGGTGAGGATGTTAAAGTTCTGGTGGTAGGAAGTAAAATGCCTTCACTCGGAAGGATGGGTAGTGACTTTCTGGCAAGACAGTGATTGAATGAGTGATGGAAAGTGTTTTCTTCATTGTTGGGTCACTACCTACAGCTGGAGAACTAAAAAAACATTTGTCTGTAGATTATGTTAGTCGAGGGGAAGCAACAAGTCACACAGCAGCTGGGAAATGGGAGGCAGTTAGGTTTGATCCAAGGAAGGGAAGATGTCCAGTTGCTCAGCACAATCAACCTCCACTGAGGAAAATGGGTGTTGCTTCAAGGAAAGTGCCTTGATGCTGGTCAAGGGACCTTGATCTAAATCAAACCTGAATGCTTCCCATTACCCAGGTGCTATATGACCCATATAGGTTTAACACTTGCCCTTCATTTAAAGCAAATCAGGTTAGATAGAGGGAGCATTATATTTTTTTTTTGGGGGGGGGGGGTGCTCTTTGGGAGGAAAACTGCCCCAGTCCAATGGAGAAATACTCCAATTCCTCAGATCAGGCCTTTCCCTCAGCCCCTCTTCCTTGAAGGGACATTTTTTTTTTAATTTTATTCACAAGAATGCATTAAACCTGCAGGGATCACATATCATCTGGGGAAATGGGCACTCATGTTTGATTCAAGGAAGAGGAAGCACAAGTCCCATTCCTTTAATCAAGAGCCCTGCATCAAGGCACCTCCCTCAAGGGGCCTTGATGGAACAGCATTTTCAGTCATTCAGTTGACTATTATTTTATCCTTGGTAGCATTAAAAATGGGGTGGGTAGAAATTTTTGTTAGTGGGTCTGTGCTTGAGATGGACCTATCTAGTATGAGCCAGTAGGCCTGCTGCAGTTTTTCTCCTTTATATTCTTACGTTTCAGACTTATCATCAGTCTTCAACACGCACCACCTGACTCGTGTCACCACGCTCTGTATATCCACACACTTTCCCCAGATAGATTTTTTTTTTTTGACTTTATAAAAGCCCATGTGTGGACAAAATGTTGTCAATGAAGGATCGCATTGTACTGCACTTTTTTTTTTTTCATGATTTTGCTGAGTAGTACTTTTTAAATTTATAAACAGTCGTGTTCCATTGCGCTAATTTGCATATGCTGCTCAATACCATATTAAAAACTAAGGAAGTTTTGAAGAGGTGGCATTGCAGGAATGTTGAGATTATTTAACATGAAACAAATCAAGAAAATGACTGAGTAAATAATGGAACATTTTATTCAAAATACACGCAGCGTATAAAACATGTTACTTAATTTAATGACTCTTAACATTAATGACAGTAAACATATGTCTTTCACAGCAGCTGTCATGATAGACACACATTACGTTTATTAAATAACGAGTATAAGCTAGCAATAATACTGGATTCCTGTCTCGCAATAATTCATGCAGTATAGCTAAAATTTTGAGCAATAGTAATTTAAAACTATTTCTGATCATTTATTTTGCAGTGCCAATATAGGGCCAAGCTGTCTAAATTTCCATAAGCTTGGTTCCAATTTTGAATTATAAACAAATGTACAGTGATAGCAAGAGTGACTCGCAAAAATCATAACACAGTTATAAATAACTCAGGAGAGAGGGTAGGTTTCGAACCCTTGGCAGGACAGTCAATCTTAGGATCTGACCAGTGGTAAGAGTACCAGAATGCTTGCTTTAGGACCTGTCCTAATCCCTACCCCTTTCCTGAGTTGGATAACAATAGTATTCTAATAATATCAAGTCTGAAACAAAAGCAGTGTCTGGGGGATTTATGAAGGATAAGCAAAAACATCAGAGCATTAAATGAACAAAGATGAATGGCTGCCACTGTCAGTGAGCTTTAATCAATAAATACTAAACAAGCAATTTAAAAATTATCACCGAAGTTAGATGAGAATGAAGATTTATTAAAAGAACTGGAAGATGAGGAGAAAGACTTGTTAATTCTCGAGTTGAAGTCTTGAGCCATATTGCCAGTGTTTGGGACATTCTGGTTTGGCAGCCTTGAGGACATCCGAGACATATCAGAAAAATTGGACATATTGCTAAAGTTTGACATACCAGAATATTGTGAAGAAGGATCACTGAAATGAGAGAAATTAGACATATCTGTGAATCCAGACCTTCCAGATAAAGTAGAAGCCATGGAGTCTGTAGACATCTGAGACATTAGGGATTGCCCACGATTCATAAGGTTTTTCAGGTCACCAAATCCAGGAGGAAACTCTGGACTTTGGAAAAATGGACCTGCATCCCCAGTTGTAGAGGAAAAAGACTTCTTGAGGGAAGATGTGCTAGATGAGCTTTTCTTGACAGACATCACAGAGCCATCAGGCATATGTTGTATACAAGATTCACTCACTTCGGCCGCATCAGCTGCCTCTGAACGCTTGAATTTTCCTTCTGGGTCCTCTTCCTCGTGCAATATCTTGGTAGTTGCTTCTCTCCTGGCAGCCTGACTTTCTTTATCAGTAATCTCAGCTGCAGTTTCTTTGTGCTCCATAAAGCCATCCTTCTCTTTCACAACATTGGAGGTCTGGGAGGTGAGAATACGTCGGCCGTTCTCCTCTGTAACACTTATGTTAGATTGATTTCCCGATCCTACAACCTGTGCAGCAGGAGGTGGAACCTGCGGAGCCTTGGCCATTTGTTGGAGACCTGGAGCACCAGCCTGAGGGAACTGCTCAAACACTTGCTTAAGAGGTTCTTGGGGCATGAAGAGTGGTGACTGCTGGAACAGAGGCTGAAATTGAGGTTGGGGTGGTGTGAACTGGGATTGTGGTGTGGGTTGGAACTGGGGTTGTGGGGGTTGGAATTTTGGTTTGGATGGTGGTGTGAACTGGGGTTGTGGTGAAGGCTGGAACTGGGGCTGTGAGGGTTGGAACTGGGGCTGTGAGGTGGTGGTTGAGTGGGTTGGAACTGGGCTTGTGGTGACTGGAACGGAGGCTGGGGTGATTGGAATTGGTGCTGTGGAGACCGGAACTGGGGCTGTGGAGACTGGAACTGGGGCTGTGGAGACTGGAACTGGGGCTGTGGAGACTGGAACTGGGGCTGTGGAGACTGGAACTGGGGTTGGGGTGACTGGAACTGGGATTGGAGTGGTGACTGTGGTTGAGGATAAGGACCTTGTTGATGCATTGGCTGAGATGTCTGTTGAAATACAGGCTGGGGTGTGGGCTGGCTAGGACTTGTAACATTAAAAGCCACTTCTGTGCGCATGGGAGCTCTTTTCCCCAAATCAAACTCCATGGTAGATGAAACTCGAGATGATTCCGATCCAGCTTCACTGGGTGCCGGTGAGGAGCACGTGCTGGTCTTCAGCGAACCAAATCCCGAGTCACTGAACATCAACTTCTCCCTCATCTCCTTTGGCAAGCCTTCAAGGCCATCATTAGAGGAACTCTCAAAACTGGATGAGGACTGAATAACAGTCTTTGAGGAGGAGCTTTTGAAGGACGAGGTGGACCCTCCATCACTGAAGGATGACTTCTGGACACTGGAGGATGAGGTGCTGCTGCTACTTATCTTGGGGACCTCACTCACTGGGGCACCCTCCTGTTGGTGTATTTAGAAGCAGATATAAGTAAATAAAAACTCACAAAGAATAGCTGATTATGCTGTAAAATGTATTTAGAAGAATATTATATACAGCCTCTCCTCACTTAAGAACAGAGCTCTCTTCCTAACACCAAGTCAGTAAACGAATTTGTCGCTAAGTGAGGAGCATACTATAATGGTAGTGGGTTTTTGTCAACTATCTCTGATATTGTTTTAATGTCACCCTTGTACCATTTATAACATTTCTGGTATATTTTTGAATGTTTATTCAGCAGTGTACTGTATATTGTAATAAACAGAATAGAGGAAATCAGCGCTAATACAGGTCCTCCATCACAAATCCTGCATCATTGGGACTTGCAGTGTGCCAGATTACTGTTTGCCGAATTAGAGTGGTTAGGTTAGAATACACTTAGTAAAATTAACCAACTTGACTTACACAGTTCATTGAACATCAGCAAAAATCGAACATTTCCGCTACTTTGAGCTCAATTTCAAGGTACTTTTCGTCATGAAAGCAATCAAAATCATGTCTATTTCTGTAATATATCTTCCATTCTATCAAATGAGTCCAAAAAATGAGAATACAACCATAAAAATCACAAAGAGGCGGCTAATGGCTGAGAAGTGAACTCCCTTATTTATCGTCCATCTTTTTTATTTTTGTTGTACGTTAAGAAGCATCATTCCATCATACATTGCCCAAGTTTCAATGAGATAGCCCAACAAACAACCGAGAAAAAAAAAATATTTACCAAAAATCATACTTGGCAAGCCCAAGCCAGGTACTGGAAATAAGTCACTTTGTCTGACTTTTCTGGGTTATCCTAGGTTCTCTATACATACACTGCTATGTATGATAATCTATGTAACTGTATTTGTGTATACCTGAATAAACTTATTTGCTTCTAGTCTGTCATTCACTTATTTCAACTACCCAATAAAGTGGTCAGAAATTGGCAATTTGACCGATTTCACACAAATTTCAACAGATGCCAATTTCAAAATAGGGTCTAGAATAAACAATGCAGACATTCCTGGCACTAAAATAACATTTTCTCTGTTCATTAGTCATGGCTCCTGGCCCCTCTTATATTACTCTTGCTTACCATTTGGAATTTTTATTCACAAAAAAAAAAAAAAAATTGAAGATTTACTGTTATGCAGACTACTGCATTATTGTAATAATTGTATAAATAATGTCAATCCATTCTTGACTCCGTACTGGAATTTAGACTGGCAGGCGGACAGGTATTGGACAGTGACGTCATTTGTTTACTCTCGAGCTTCGCTAAAGAATAGAGCATTTTTGCTACTGTGAGCGCAGTTTCAAGGTACTTTTCGTCATGAAAGCAATCAAAATAATATCTATTTCTGTAATATATCTTTCATTCATCAAATGAGACCGAAAAAATGAGAATATAACCATAACAACCATACAAAAATATACCTCAAGTGGCCACTAATGGCGGAAGTGAATCCGCTATTATGGTCTGATTCTTTACGTTTTTGTAGTATTAAGAAGTATCTTTCCATCATACATTGCCCAAGTTTGAATAAAACCCAACACAACTGAGAAAATATAATCAATAATAAAAATACATAATCTAATAATAATAATAACAACTTCATTACTACACATACATGTACAGGTTACAGGCCTAGCTGACATCAGTGACATACTACTATAGAAAGGCACTTGTTATGCTGAGTATTTCAAAAAATAGGTCAGTGCCCCAGGATAACACCACACTAGGACTAACACCCGGTACCCATTTACTATGGGTAAACATAGACAACAGTTTAATGCAACAGCCTAATGTTTCATACCCTGGCTGGGAAATCGATATTTACCAAAATCTATATGGCAACCAACCAGGTACTAAAAATAAGCCACATTGACTTTTTGGGGTTACCAGGTTCTCTACACATATGGTGCTATGTGTGATAATCTGTAGAGAGAAAATAACTCTTTTGTTTCATGTTTATGGTGGAGTACGAGTGTATATCACAGTTAGCCCTGTGCTATACAGTGGACCCCCGGTATTCGATATTAATCCGTTCCTGAGAGCTTATCGAATACCGAAAATATCGAAAAGCGAATCAATTTTCCCCATAAGAAATAATGGAAATCAAATTAATCCGTGCAAGACACCCAAAAGTATGAAAAAAAAATTTTACCACATGAAATATTAAGTTTAATGCAATAAAATAATTACAATAACAACAATAACAATAGAATAATTGACACTTACCTTTAATGAAGATCTGGTGATGATTGATGGGATGGGAGGAGGGGAGAGTGTGGATGGTGTTAGTGTTTAGAAGGGGAATCCCCTTCCATTAGGACTTGAGGTAGCAAGTCCTTTTCTGGGGTTACTTCCCTTCTTCTTTTAATGCCACTAGGACCAGCTTGAGAGTCACTGGACCTCTGTCGCACAACAAATCTGTCCATAGAGCTCTGTACCTCCCATTCCTTTACGATTTGTCTAAAATGGGCTACAACATTGTCATTGTAATAGTCACCAGCACGGCTTGCAATAGCTGTGTTAGGGTGATTTTCATCCATCAAGGTTTGCAGTTCAACCCACTGTGCACACATTTCCTTAATTTTTGAAGTAGGCACAGTGGATTCCACAACTGGCATAGGCTTCTCAAGGTTAGCCCCAAACCCTTCAAAATCTTTCTTAATTTCAATACTAATTCTCACCCTTTTTACCACAGGGTTGGCACTAGAAGCTTTCTTGGGGCCCATGGTGACTTATTTTGCAGAAACAAGCACCAAAAACAATGATAATATGGAATGTACCGAATGTATCCTTAGATGCGCGCACACTGGCTGGCTTGTAAACACTGGCACACACGGGCAGTTCAGGCCACACGTGGACACGTCTTGTACGAATTGTATCGAATACCGGGTTTTCAATCGGATACCGAGGTGAAAATTTTGCTTTAAAATGCATCGAATACTGGATTTATCGAATACTGATGCCATCGAATACCGGGGGTCCACTGTACTCTGTTTTCTTTAATATAAGCCCCAAGACAAGGATAGGAGAATGGTATTTGTTTACCATATCCTCTTCATAACTCTGTCGAACTGCTCGGTGTTATGACAAATATTATTCATTCTGGAGTATTTAACATGTTTTATGTTATTTATATTGTTTCTTATGTCATATTAGATCAATTGTGATAGGCAAATAAGCTGTAGTGTTGATATTAGCATAATAATAAAGCATATTCTCCTGCTTCATGAGACTGAGCTCATGGCAACCGACAGTGGCTTCAAAGCCACCTTATCTTTAATGGATAATGTACTGTGTAGGTGCTTTACATAATGAGAAGCATTTCTTTTATTCATTGGAACCATGGCTAGGGCTAAAAGTAAGCAGGTTAAAACAATAAATGGAGAAAAAGAAATTGGAATGACTTATGCAGCAAGTAGCGCCACCAAACAGTACCAGTAGGTTGGTGTGGTGACCCTGGAAATTTGAAATTATGCTAGCCAAAATTAGTGCCGAATAACTGAAGGAATTGAATAACTGATTGCCGGATTTGTGATGGCAGACCTGTACTATAGATTTTTCTTTGTACCTCCATAAATAAACTTTTCTTTGATCACTTGCCATAACACACCACAAATCTTCCTATCACCTCTTGTTTCATAGATCCATCTGCAGTCATGTCTACAATATTTAGATATTTGTTTTCTTCCTCTATACTCCCTCCCATCTGATATCCAATCTCTGGTTACCTAGATTTTTGCTTTCTCTCATCTTTTCAATGTTTGCTATGTTCACGGAGCAAGAGATTACAGTATATGTAACTCCAGGCCATTACCAATATAGCTACTCTACTCCCGTTGGTATGTGTTTAACACACTCATCAAGGGATTCAGAAATCATTTTCAGCAGACTCAGACTGTCGAACATAACCAATTATTAAGTCAAAATTTAGTAGATCATCAGTCACTTTTTTTGCATCATATAATGGGATGAGGAAAATTTGCACCCAGAAAACAAAATTGAGGTAGTCCAAAACTTCAAGCCACTCGATGATAAAAAGTGATTTTAATTACTCTTAGAAATGGTTGAGTTTCATAAAAGATTCTGTAGAAATTTCTGAAAATAGTCCCTTAACCTCTCTTATCAGCCAAAGTCAGGAGGCTGCTTGTTTTAATGTCACCAGATTATTCAAAGCCTTTTTCATCACTGGTGGATGTGAGTGACTTGGGAAAGGGTACAGCATCAATGCAAGTTTCTCAGTCTCTCTTATCATGTTGTATTCTTTGCAAAATTTAAGAAACATCAATGCAACTACACCAGTGGAAAAAGATTTAGCTCTAGTGATGGTGCTGGAATGTTTTCACGTCTGTTGGTACTCATCTCCGCATGTTATCCAGGTCTTCAGTGACCATATTCCACCGATTCTCTCTGGCAGTATGCAAAATTAGAATTTTTGTATGTAAGTATCGACTTATCAGATCCAGGTCTTAAGACATTTGTTTCAGATATTGCAGGGAAAAGCAATATGCGATGTATTTCAGGTGAGGGATGAGGACACAGACCCTGCTTATTAGCTAATATTTTATTTATTACTCATTAGGGAAGATGAGTAGCCTAAGACTGTTGTTTCTCACTGGAATATATACCCTTAATGTCCTTATATATAAGCAATTAATTAGTTATTGCCATTGCATGCCTGAAACACACTACGTAACTATGAGCTTTCTGCATTTTATCATGCTGAAATAAAATTTTGTTATTATTATTATTATTATTATTATTATTATTATTATAGAATGAATTTACTGGCAGTAGCATTGCGTCCCTTGCTAGTGTCCTGAACTTACATTAGCCATGTGACTATCTTGGCTTGTTGTAGTGCTTGTTCGAAAAAAAAAGTGCCTGTCTTACTATATAATAATATTCTCTTGAGAGCTTCCAATTGGTCTGGGATGGTATAGAAGCAGTCCCATTAGCTGTTATTTTATTATGTCAGGTGATTGAGGGAGCCCAGATGTACAGAAGGGCCCTGCTTATACAGCCTTTTTCACTTTCAAATGTAAAAGCCTGAGGAATAGAGCTAAGCCTAAAAAATGCATGTACAGTAAGTCATCACTTAATGTCATTTTGTTATAACAGTGAGAAAAAAAAATTTGACTCTCAGCTGGGGCCACTGTGTGTGGAGTTTGCACATTCTCCCATGTCTACATGGGCTTTCTCCAGGTACTCCAGTTTCCTCCCACATCCCAAAGCTGTGGCATGTCTAAATTGTCCCAGTATGAGTGAGTGTGGTGTATGTGAGAGTGCACCCTGCCATATTTGTTATTGTTTGCTGTTGAACTGCATGGTTGTACGATGTGCTCCTAAATAAATGAAGGTGCTCCAAATAAATGAAGAATAATCATAACTGAAAACCATTGCATTAGTGAAACACAGTAAAGCGGGGACCTCCTATATCAGAACTCACAGAATGGCATATGCCACTGCATGAAGTTGGTGTTCTTGTTTGTTCATTCAGTTCTGATAGGTTCAGAGTGGGATTAAGTTTTTGTGGGTCCCTGGGCTACAGGTACTGAGAGGCCTCCAGTGATATTTTCAAAAAGAAAAAAGATAAAGAAATCTTAAATTTATTTTTACAAGGCTAACCACAATTAAAATTTAAACATTTGGTTTTCTGTAATTTCTTGGAAACAAATTTCTCCAAAATATCAGTAAATTGTAAGTTGAGACCATCTCTGGAAGCCCTCCAGCTGGCAAAGGTTTCTGGGCCTAAAACCCATGTCTCAGTTTGGCCTTGGCTGGGCTACTTATCCTGTATTCAGTGCATGCCACACAAAACCTTTGTCATCTTGGCTAGCCAGAAGCATTGCCTAACCATAGCCAAAGTCAAGTGAACTACCCTAGTACCAGTGTGGTTTACAAGATGCTGTGGCCTTTTTGACATTTCAGAGAAAGAATTGGTGCCCTGGAAGGTAATGTATCATTTCTAGAAACACCTCAAAACCACATATTCTTGTGCCTCTATCTAATTAACACCATACTTGGCTGTTTCTCAGTGTGTATGTATGTGTGTATTATCACTTTTGTAACTGATAAAACTCACTTTCACTTACTGAGACTCAATTTACTATTATGTTTAACTTGTCCATGATAATAGAAGCTAGATTAATATACAAGTTATCCATTTTGTGGATGGCAGCAGTTAGAGTACTGGGTACACCAAATCCATCCAGAGGATGGAAGAGTTAGTCTTAGAGAGTTATCAGGAGTTTCTTTAGGTATTTACATATCAATATTTTGTTTCCTGTTACAAGAAATTTTATGAAAATTTATAAAAAAAAAAAAATTATGGTACTTTTTCATCATTTAGATACCTCATAATATTGTACAAGTTTAAAATTTTGGTGTGGCCAGGGGGATTTCAAGAATGGGGGGAAGAATAGAATAGAGCAGCAAAACAGAGTAGACAGCAAATTTATTAATAAAAGGTCAGAGGTATAACCACTTAGTATTTAAGAGGTTTTTCAGTCACACTTTGAACATGTTTCATGATGACTCACGAAATCGTAATGACATGATTGCAAACAAACCATACCCCGACCGGGATTGAACCCGCGGTCAGAGAGTCTCAAAACTCCAGCCCGTTGCGTTAGCCACTAGACCAGCTAGCCACAATAAGATTCGTCCAACTAGGTATATTTCTACACCATAGGAAGGTTAGCACAGGCACCACTGTGACCACAAATGCAAGTTTTTACAGACGAATCTCCAGCTAGCGTGGCCGTGACGAACTCTAGCTCAAGTCCCTTCACTGCCGTCAACATGACTCACGAAATGTAATGACACGATTGCAAACAAACCAGTGGTCTAGTGGCTAACACGACGGGCTGGAGTTTTGAGACTCTCTGACCGCGGGTTCAATCCCGGCCGGGGTATGGTTTGTTTGCAATCGTGTCATTACGATTTCATGAGTCATGTTGACGGCAGTGAAGGGACTTGAGCTAGAGTTCGTCACGGCCACGCTAGCTGGAGATTCGTCTGTAAAAATTGCACTTGTGGTCACAGTGGTACCTGTGCTAACCTTCCTATGGTGTAGAAATATGCCTAGTTGGACGAATCTTATTGTGGCTAGCTGGTCTAGTGGCTAACGCGACGGGCTGGAGTTTTGAGACTCTCTGACCGCGGGTTCAATCCCGGCCGGGGTATGGTATGTTTCATGAAGGATGTTGCAGTAATTATTTAAAAAAAAAAATGACTACCTTCTTTGGTGCCTTGATAGTGAGAACCCCATCCTTTGAGAGTGCAGTAGTGACCAGATCAATATCAGCAGCTGGAGGCAGTGTGAACTCCTTATAAAATGATTTCGATGATGACGAAGCACCATCCTCCGAGACCTGAAAATAAAAATACTGAATGTACTGACACGAAGGACTTCAACCTAAAACTGTCATGGATTGTCAGTTTGGGTTTAATGCCTGTCAGCTAATTGAGGGTCATTAAGATTTCAAATTAAAAAAAAAAAATTAGTTCATCGCAGGCACACCCAGAAAATACAGTCCATAAGAATAATAGTAATAATAAAAATAATATTTATTTCTACAAGTACAGCTTATACATACGATAGCTACCATCAGACATGCTACAGGAGGTCCTCCACATTCGCAAGGGTTAGGGGATCAAGAACTTCACGAATCTTGAAAATTCGCAAATGTTTGGTGTGCAGATATGATGTAGGGAAATATAATAATAGCATTTACTTAGCCTAACAATACTCCTTCCTTAACTTGTTGAACCACAAACAATCATAAAACACGTGAAAACATCGTAAAATATTGTATATACATGTTATGGTTTAATAACAAATAATGAACAAACGGATTGAGGTTCAGGTGAGGTGAAAGGGGTAGTGGCAGGCTTCCTTGTGATTAACATTGTGATGGGCAACTGAGACAGTTTCCTCTTCATATCTACAAACAAGAGTTTTGTAGGGAATTATGCTCCTATCATGTTGCTCATCACCTTCAAAGCCCTCAACATCGATGGGTCTGTGTTGTAAAAAAATTGTTTGAGCTGTGCTGTCATTCTCATCGCTTGCCCTAGTTTTTCAAGGGTGAGGGCTTGAGGTTGCTTGGCCTCAGCAACACTCTCCTCTTCTTCATCCTCACTTTCTTCCTGCACATGTGATTGGGCAGTTGGGCATTCACGAATGTTTGAATCTCGCGAAAGTGGAAGGCTAGCTGTATATAGAAAACCCCTCATGCAAATTAGGTCAGTTTTGTCCCCAGTATGTGACCCACACCAGTCAACTAACACCCAGGCACCTATTTTAGTGATAGGTGAACAGGGACAGTAGGTGTCTTAAAGAAACATCTTAATTTTTCCACCCATACTGGGAATTGAACCACAGACAGGAATGCACTGTCAGTTGAGCTATAGGATTCCATAAGTCTTAACTAAGCAGGCATGAAAAAGATGCTCTACAACACCTATTAGTTTAACCTGTAAACGGTGCAAGCAGATCTACGTTCACATGTGTAGTGCTACAAAAGTAGATCTACGTTTTTTTACATATTTTCAAATATAACAAAAAAAAAAAAAGATCAAAGTTTTTTACACATTTTCAAATGTAAAAAAACAAAAAGAAGATCTACTTTTTTACATACTTTCAAATGTTGAAAAACGTATATATACGTTTGGACCGTTTACGGGTTAAATAGAAGAGCCAATACAGTAGGACCTCCATATCTGCAGGTTCAGTCTCAGCAATTCTCAGCTTACCCTAGCCTGAAAATAATCCTAAATTTTGCTTAAAAATGACAACAAAGTGCAAAAGCAGTGATGGTGACAGTTCTTCAAAGCCTCAGAGAAGTCGTGAAGTGCGTCCCATCAGTGAAAAGTGATAATTCTTGACTTATTGTGCATAATTTATCAATTAAACTTTATCATAGGTATGTACGTAAACAAAAAATTACTACAATCTGTGGCTCAGATACCCTCTTGCCACTTAGTAATATTAATTATTTCAAAGGTTTCTACAACTGGAACAAAGCAAACAAGTAGTGTCACCCAGACCCAAGACAGTACTGATAACTTTTACAATGGCATCTTTCCTTTTCATTAGTATTTATAAGTGGGCCAGCAGTGCTGCATAACCTTCACAGCTTAGCACTTGGTTATGATTATAATAGTAACAGAGGTTTCGCTAATGCAGCGATTTTCAGTTATACCCATTCTTCATGTATTCAGACTTCTTACAATAAATATATTCACCACTCCCTATAAGCTAGGTACGAAAATATTTTAAAGTAATGTGTGTACTGTATATGCATTTTTTAAGCCTAGCCAATAGACCCCTGGCTGTCTTCAAGAAGGCACTGGACATGCACCTAAAGTTAGTACCTGACCAACTGGGCTGTGGTTCATATGTCAATTTGTGTGTGGCCAGCAATAACAGCCTGGTTGATCAGACCCTGATCCACCATGAGGCCTGGTCTCAGACTGAGCCGCGGGGGTGTTGACCCCCGAAACCCTCTCCAGGTAAACTCCAGGCAGCTCTTTGGCTCACTTAATATATGACAGTGTAAACAAGTTATCAGGCTTTTATATACAGTGGACCCCCGGTTTACGATATTATTTCATTCCAGAAGTATGTTCAGGTGCCAGTACTGAACGAATTTGTTCCCATAAGGAATATTGTGAATTAGATTAGTCCATTTCAGACCCCCAAACATACACGTACAAACGCACTTACATAAATACACTTACATAATTGGTCACATTGGGAGGTGATCGTAAAGCAGGGGGCCACTGTATATACGTATTTGAATGTGAAAAAAAGCTGTGATTCACTTCAGTGATTTTTTGCTTTACAGCAGCAGCCTGGAACCTAAACTGTTGTATAAACAGGGCCCTCTTGTACAATATGCTATAATATAGAGAAACAGTAAAACACATCGATTTCGTCAAACGTAACGGAATAAAAATTTAATAGTATTCTTCTTCTTTCAACAAACCGGCCATATCCCACTATTTAATAGTATTGTGGTAATAAAAGCAGAATTACCAACAATATGTTAGGTAATAGTAGGTTGATAGACAGCAACCACCCAGGGAAGTACAGTGCTATCTCAGTTTTTGTATGCCCTAGTTTGTTTGTAAAACTATAGTTCTTCTTCTTCTTTCAATGTACCAACCGTATCCCATCGAGGTGGGGTGACCCAAAAGGAAAAATGAAAGTTTCTCCTTTCAAATTTAGTAATATATACAGGAAAGGGTTACTAGCCCCTTGCTCCCGGCATTTCAGTCGCCTCTTACAACACGCATGGCTTACGGAGGAAGAATTTTGTTCCACTTCCCCATGGAGATAAGAGGAAATAAACAAGAACGAGAACTAGACAGAAAATAGCAGAAAACCCAGAGGGGTGTGTATATATATGCTTGTACATGTATGTGTAGTATGACCTAAGTGTAAGTAGAAGTAGCAAGACATACCTGAAATCTTACATGTTTATGAGACTGAAAAAAGACACCAGCAATCCTACCATCATGTAAAACAATTACAGGCTTTCGTTTTATAGAGAATAACTATAGTTATTCTCTATAAAATGCATTTTTTGTTAATATTTTTGGGTGTCTGGAATGGATTAATTGGATTTACATTATTTCTTATGGGAAATATTAACAAAGAATACATTTTATAAAGAATAACTATGGTTTTACATACAAACTAAGGCATATGAAAACCGAGGTTCCACTGTACTACTGTCCTGTTAAACGAGTGTAAGAAACCTGTAACTGTTTTACATGATGGTAGGATTGCTGATGCCTTTTTTCTGTCTCATAAGCACACAAGATAACAGGTATATCCTGTTACTTTTACTTACAATTAGGTCACACTACACATGTATGTACAAATTTTTTGTATATACACTCACCTGATTTTTCTTTAGTTTTTCTTAATACTTCCTTGTTCTTATTAAGTTCCTTTCATATCCATGAGGAAGTGGAATAAAAATTTTTCTTATGTAAGCCATGCTGCTGCAAAAGTCAACTAAAATGCCGGGAGCAATGGCCTAGTAACCCCTTTTCCTGCACAGCTTACTAAAAATAAAGAGAAGAAAACCTTTAAGTTGGGATGTTCGAATATGCATGGATGTAGTGTGGATGATGAGAAAGAGACGACTGTGGATGTTATGAATGAAAAGACACTGGATATCCTGGCTCTACTAAGTGAAACATAGCTGAAGGGGGTAGGAGAGTTTCAGCGGGGAGAAATAAATGGGATTAGGTCAGGGGTTTCTAATAGATTAGAACTAAGGAAAGGGTAGCAATCATGTTGAAGGATCAGTTATGGCAGGAAAGAGGAAATATAAATGCATAAATTCAGTGATTATGTGGGGTAAAATAAGGTTGGAATGTGAAAAGTGGGTTTAGTAAGTGTTTATGCACCTGGAGAAGAGAGAAGTGTAGAGAGAGAAAGATTTTGGGAGATGTTGAGCGAGTACATAGGGAGTTTTGAACCAAGTGAGAGTATTTGTGGTGGGGGACTTCAATGCTAAAGTGGGTAAAACTGTTGTGGAGTGAGTAGTAAGTAAGTTTGAGATGCCAAGGGAAAATGAAAATGAGGAGCCTTTAATTGAATTATGTATAGGAAGAGGTTTGGTAATAAGTAATACATATTTTAAGAAAAAGAGGATAAATAAGTATACAAGATATGATATAGAACATAATGAAAGTAGTTTGTATTGGTGGATAAAATGTTGATGGGTAGACTTCAGGATGTGTATGCATATAGAAGGGCAACAGAAATGTAGGATCATTATTAAGTTGTAGCTACAGTTAGAGTAAGAGGTATATGGAGCAAACAGAAAACAGCAACAGCAAGTAACAGAGAAGTCAAAGTTTATACACTAAGGGAGGAGGAAGTTAGAGTGAGATATAAGCAACTGTTGGCAGAAAGGTGAGCTAATGAGAGTATAGGTAATATGAGGTTTGAAGAGGGGTGGGATAGTTTTAAAAAGGCAGCGTTAGAATGCAGAGAAGTTTGTGGTTAAAGGAGGGTGAGTGATTGGTGCAATGACGAGGCAAAGGGTGTGATAAAACAGAAAAAGGTCGCATATGAGAGATTTTTACAGAGCACAAGTGATATAAGAAGGGTGGAGTATATGGAGAGTAAAAGAGGTGAAGAGAGTGGTGAGGGAGTGTAGAAGGAGAGCAAAAGATAACATAGGTGAGGCACTGTCAACAAATTTTGCTGTGAATAAGAAAAAATTTTGGATCGAGATAAATAAGTTAAGAAAGCCTAGGGAACGAATGAATTTGACAGTTAAAAGCAGAATAGGGGAGTTAGCAGATAGGGAGTTGGAGGTATTGGGAAGATGGCAGGAATATTTTG